TATTTTCTTATATCATGTTGATGGTTACAGTAAACCTAGAAATGATAATGAAGTATCTATAATAGAAACTGTATAATCCTGAGAAGCAAGCTGCAAAAATACTATTTTTGTATCAATTACAGATTTCCGTAAATCTACAATTTATTTGAAGATGTCAATTTTTTTCAGGTTTTACATTAAGAAATACTTGCATAAGTTTTAATGTTATTTATTTCTCTAAAGAAGTACCAATCTTTTTTACATTACAAGCTTTTTTCTAAGGAGACGCTACGTATTTCAAAATAAATTGACCATCACTTAGACTAGAAAAAAGAAACTGTTCCCTCTGTACTGATATTTAACTTGTTTATTTTCTTCTCCTTGGCTAAAAGCTAGCAACATAGAAGAGAAAAAGACAAATTGATTATTACTTTTTTTACATTGTGAACAGTCTTTATCATCCTATTTTATTGATTAGTATAGTTAGCCATAGCTACAGACAGCAATCTATTATTTATAAAGTAGTGTAGAGAAATCTTTTTACCTTTTACTAAGGTTTTCAGCATTGCATGACAGCAGACGGCTTCGAAACTGAAAAGGATAAAAGCTACTTTGCTTTAGTGCTATTCCAGGGTCTGTTGTTGTCCAAAGTGGGAACAAATCAATCTTTTATTGCCTTAATCTCTAGTATAGTAAACTAGCCCCACCCGCCCGCGGCCAAAATAATTTTTCCCTGCGAGTTGTTCTAGCCTCAATCAATGCCGCAGGCCCTGGAACTGGCCAATCACAACGCAGAAATGTGTTTTAAATTTCTGGATACAAAGCGGGCGGGATTTTGAGGCCGTAACGACAAAGCTGTGCGACGCTGGAGAAAGCACAACAAGTATTATGGCAACAACTATTGAACAGTTCCCGTTTGACATGGCTTTAAAAATCAGTTTTGGAAGGATTAGACTTGGGGTTTTCAAACGTGAGCAAGAGGCTCTACGCTCTACAGGCTGTTTGTTTACACTCCCCCACCAGCTCTCTGTGTCGCTAACTTGCACTCATTGGTCAGAGCGTTGGCCAATAGGCAAAGACATGGTTTAGAAAGAGTTGTTCTCATAAATAATCTTCCGATGTGTCATTCATTGGGGCCAGACTAAATTACACATTTAATCTCACATTTAATCTGGTTTACCAGGCTACTTAATCAAATTTTTGTAGCCAAAAAAGGCAAAGAAGAAACATCGGCTGAATATCTGATCAAGTTTGTTTTTTTCTATGTCCATTTTGTTGCATAGCTGGTAAATTTCTATTATCTACTGTAATGATCATTTGCACATTTCCTTTTTGTGATTAAACTTAGCAGTTTACTATCAGACAGCCCAAAGTTTATTTTTAAAGGAGAATTTGCTTTCTATCGCCTGTTCTACTCTGGCACTTTGTTAAAAAGTTATATTAGTAGATTTATCTAATGTTTTATGGCTAAAGCACAGAACTCAAACATAAAGTCGCTCAACAGTAAATATATAATGATTGTTTTCCTTAAATGATCTTCTTGTTTGCCCAAATATCAGTGGGTTAGATATATGTGCTTTTAAGAGACTGGCTCAAGCACCTGTGGAGCACTTGGCCTCATGCGGCGCTCAGTTCCAGCCATGTTATGCCCATAAAAGGTAAATCTGTCTTCCACGGCCTCATTAAGTATAAGTTGTGAAGCAGGCTGTTTAAAGAGGATGTCTATATTGTAGTTGCATTCAGCTCTCAGCCTATGGATTTGGCAATCAGCATTGCTTTAGTGCCTTTAAGCAAACCTCTGAGGCTGTATCAGAATTCAGACACGCTGGTTGATGTTGGCTCTGGCCATAATACTGTTGCAGATTGCCCTAGTTGTGTTGTGTAGGTGTGTTTGTGTGTGCTTTTGTTTCACAAAGAGGTCTTTGTTGTTGATCTGAGCTGCTTGATGGCTGGGCAAAGCTTCACTGGAATGACAGAAGTAACTGGAAGCTGTGTTGCTGTTTGGCAATCAGATGAGACCTTTTTTCTATTTTACCAGCAAACTGAGGTCTGGTTGTTTTTAGGTGGAAATATGTTCTTGATATCCAGAGGTTAGGTTTTGGCATGAAGGTGTGAATTGAGTTTTGTTCAGGTTTAAGGTGAGGTATGTACTGGTAATGGTTTTAGAGGTAGGGTCACGGTTAAAGGCTGGTTATACTCCCTGCAGCCGTGTGTCGCAGTGAGCTTGACGCAGACATTTTTGATTTATGGTCAATTTTGACCGTGGTCTGCTCTATACGCTGTGGGTCTAGATACGGCCAAGGCGGTGAGGAAGTGGGGCAAGTTTGTCCAACAATGGAGGGACATGACAATGAAAAAGAGCAGGGATCCAGGTGGGAAAAGGGTCCCAGCATTCTCGCTCTTCTAGCTGTTCAAACTTTACGAGTTTGCCTCCTGTCTGCGCTCACCTACAGAGAGGTGCAGTAGAGTGTCTGCGGAGGGAGCAGGGACATCTTTTTGTTCACTGTGACACCCATGCAGACGACCTGGTTTCCAAGTATAAATCAGCCTTTAGGCCATAGAAAGGGCTGAAAATAACTGAAAATCCAAACACAGGATCCTCACTGTATATAGCGAGATGAGAACGTGTGCGTGTGAGCTTGGCATGACTCTGACTCAGTGGTCGTCTTTTCTATTTTGACCAACTCTACACCATTCACCACAGGCTTTTGTTCGTGCTGTTTTTTGTTATCTTATATATTTTTTAGACATTCCCTTAGATGTGACTCGTCTGATCGTGATGCATGTCTGCGGAGTCTTAGAGTTTGTATTGTTCCGGCTATTTAAAGCAGCCTCTCTAACATAAATCTGGGTTTAAAGTCTCTCAGTTGTTTTTAGGGCATCATCTTTATTCTTATGCAGTAAAAATTCTCAAGTAATACTTCCATGGGCCATTCTTGAGAAACTATTAATATATATCATAGTGTTATTTAAAATCTAAAATAAGTTGTAAATCAGTTAAAGAACATGTTTATGTCTGAGTTGTTTTCATTATTGTTGCACCAATGCCATTTTTTGGCCCCGATACTGGTACCTGGCTGTGCAGTGTTGTCCGATATCATACCGATACCGTCTGTGTGAAATTGATGTGTGTGTGTGTATATATATGAAGAACTGCATACTGTAGTAAAATAATTGCCATCATGGCTTTGTTAAGCTGCTGCCTACCTTTGTGAAGCAGTAAAAGTATAATACAAAGTGAATCCAGTAGAACTTTTTATTGCCTACCTGGAATAGGTGACAATAGTTGAATAAACTTTTGGCTCTCAAAATGGTATCGGTGCCCTATTTGTTGGTACTTGCCGATACACCACCATTTTCATGCTGGATCGGGGCCCCTGCCCGATACTGGTATCGGTGTAACACTAGTTCACATTTTAAAATCTTTTAGTATTTTATTTTAATTTCTGTTAAATTTCTTCTTTCTGCAACATGTCCTCTTCTTTCTAAATCTACAGATTGGTTAAATGATAGTATATTCACATAAAATAACCAGAGGGATGATGATATCTGCTTAAGAAAATGTTTTGAAATGAGAAACTATATCAGTTAAATTTATGGTGGTGAAAAATATATTGTTAAAGTTTCACTCATTAGATGTAGTTGTATTGTATTTAGTGGTTACTAACGGCTGGTTGGAATGTCTTGTCTGTTGCCTCATTAAGAACATATTACTGAGGGAAAACTAAGCACTGGAAAATAGGCTGGACTGTATTTTCCATAGTCAAATATGTTGATGGCAGGAAACCAGCAAATATTTCCCTCCAACCCAATAAGTTAAAGTAACAAATACTGCAGTGTGGCCGAATTGGAGAATTTAAGTAAATAAAACAAAATAATTAATAACGGTCCTTATGTCCTCCTACAGCCTAATACTATAGCAGCATAACTATAGAGGTAGCTCAGGATAACCTGAGCCACTCTATCGAAAAGGAAAATGTTCAAAAGTAGACATAACCTCAAAGGACTAGATAAATTGATAACAATTCTATGATAATTTACTAAATCTGTAGGGGCTGATTGGTCCAAACATGTTTGAATTCATTTCATTTTTCTTTTGAGCCAAAAAATTCTGACAAAGGTTGGATTTTCAAATTAACTTTCCAATTGTAAAGGAGAGCTCTTGGTTTACATCTTTAAATTTTCTCTCTACTCATTTAATGAATAATGTTTTTTTTATTAAATGACTAAAAACATGACAAAAGTTAACAGAGTTGTAATCTTACTATCGGGCACACTTCATCAGAGGGTTAGCAGCAGCCCCTAATAACGCTTAAAAGGATCTCTTTATACATCTCAGGGTCACATTCTGCCACATCATCAAGTAATATTAGGGTATAACAAGAACATACATGAATGATAAATAATAATTCTAACTAATGTATAACCTTTTTTTAACAGGCTGTAAAATCCTAAACATTTCCTCACTTCTTTTCTCTTTGTAAGGCACCAGTCAGACTAAAGTATTTACTTCCCTCTTCTTAGCTTTTCTTCTAATCTGTTTCCGTTGGGTTGAATTTATTCATCAAAGTGACTCAGAGCTAAGTGATGTTTTAGGCTGTGGTCTGTAAACTGAACACAGCTTTAGTCACCTGGCTGGACAAAACCAGCTGCTGTCGCCTCCATTAGAAGTGCTCTGTTTTTGTGCACAAAGGGTCAGTGTCAAATTTAGGTACATTTCCCACTATTTCTCTTCCTACTCTTCCTCAATGCTGAGACAGTTATTTACATTCGGAGCATGAGTGATTCCACACTGTTTGAGGAAAAGGACATTTCTGTTAAAGTGGAAAATAGTCGTCTGGAATTTGACTTCCGACCTTCTGACCTTTGCTGTTTGTCTCGTCCCTCCTTTCTCCATACATATTTCCAGTCTGAAACACAAATATTAAAGGGATTGATGCCACAAAATCTTGGGGGGTCAATTTTCTATAATGACATGGTTTTCTGTAATTTACAAGAATAATCATCTTTTTTTGTTGCAGATGACAGGACTAAAGACGGCAATCAGATAGAGTTCAAGTCCAAGCAGTGGTTCGGTGCCTCAGTGCGATCTGATGGAGAACACATCCTGGTAAGATCTCAAACTGTTTTTTTCCCCTCCAAATCCAGATTATAATTCCTTTCTCCCTTAAAGCAAGACTATTAGTTAAGGTTAAAATAATTTTTCTGGTCAGTATTGAACACTTTGTGTTTACTGATGCTCTGTACGTGATGCTCTTCCCAAAAACTCAGCAATGTAACCTTGGGGTCAGCTCTGTCACTGAATACGTCATGTTTCCCAGAGCCCCAACATCTGAGCTGCCCTTAAACAAGAGTGCTAACTAAGCTAAAAGTCGTGGTTTTTAGGCCACAGAGATCTGACCCTTACCTAACAGAACTATTTTTGGTTCTATGATGATGGATTTAATCTACTGGGCAAATGTAGCTTTGAATTTAGCACTGACTCCATAATTCAGTCTGGTCTGATATCAGGTTCCAATCAGTGAGTGCAGTGTTGCCAACTGGCTGAACCTGGAGAGTTCAACCTCACTGCAGCAAACAGAAAGGGGCGGAGACTTACCTCATGCCACTTTTTTGTTAAAAATCATTATCAGTTACGACTGTTAAAACATAATAATTATCAACCTAACCACTGTGTTTTATATTTTTCAGTGGAGACGAAGCTTTTTTTAATTAGTTTAATGTTTTTAATGTTGAGACAGGATAAAGTAAGGTATACCCTTCGTGGTTCATAAGTGGCTTTTAAAAACGCTCTTTTAATTTAGCCTTTAAAAAGATTGTTAAACCATTTGTCCTCTTATTAGAGTTGACCCCCACCCTCGCTCTGCCGCACTCCACCTGCCTTCTGATCTTCCCAGTTACCTCCCAGAGCTAGACCTATCCACCCACCGCCTCTGCCCAGCTATGATGCACATTCTGCAGGGCATCTGGCTCTGATCTACGGCCGTCCGCCTCCAAACACGGTGCATGGGGCACAGATGGCCAAATGTACCTCGCTGTGGAGCATTGAGAGCAAGAGATTGGAAGAAGATAGCGGTAGATTTGAGCCAGATGGAAATAAAATAGACCAAGGAAAACAACATCATCAGCAATATCCTAAGCTTTGAAAATCTCATTAGGCAGTGTTCAACCCATTACTAAAAAATGGGGTATGGCGCAAAAAAATCATACAATGGCATGATCATCCGCTTCATCTGACCGACAAGGAGGACGTTCATCTGTTAAGCCCAGAGGTCTGAGGGAACTCAGGTGGAGCAGCTTGGATCTGGTCCTTAGGTTCAGATCCATAAATCTGGCCTTTTGGGGAGACAGTCTGAAAGATAAAATAAATACAGTTTTTTGATTTTTGTGTGCAGCGCTCTACTCAGATGAGATCTAAAGTCAAATTCTTAACTTAAAAAGAAGACTTTTAACACAGCATCTTGCTGTATGGATCCTAGACCAGCTCAAAGTCTGACCATAAATCCATCAGAGCACTGTTCTAAACCCAGCTCCTGGGGGCACCGATGTCTCTCAGCTTTATTTGATTCAGATGAATGCTTTTAATCAGCCACCAATGGAGAAAAGGTCAAGCTGGAGGACATCTAAAACCTGCGGGGCAGCTTTCCTTCAGGAGCAGGGTTAAAAAAACACAGCATTAGAGAACCCATGGCAAGACTAGAAAAGTCATGTCGACATATTCTCTACATCCACTCTGAGCTCCATGTTTTGCAGAGACTTGCAGCCGAAATTAGAGCAGTTCGTTATGGAGGATGCGTGACAGCATGGTGCTCCACTCATGGTTCTCTTCTCTCTGCATTAACTAAACCTCCAGTCCAACTCCCCCTCACCGGGAGAAATACCTAATGCCATGTTTTGGGCTGAGTCAGAATACAGGAAAACTGAAACTGGAACCCTGGAAACACTTACCTCTAAAACCTGAAGAAAACATAGGATAGGTTTGTACAGGAGTAGAACCAAGCAGAAAATGTTTCCATGGAGCAGGATGTCTAAGAGGTGAAGGAATATAAACCCTGTGGTTTACACCTGGACAACAGATTGGACTGGAAATGAAAGGCTAAACACATTCATTCCACATTTCCTAAACACTGGAGGATCTTTGCCCCACCCAGAAACATTTTGGACATTAAAGATCCTCCAGTGTTTAGGAAATGTGGAATGAATGTGTTTAGTCTTTCATTTCCAGTCCAATCTGTTGTCCAGGTGTAAACCACAGGGTTTATATTCCTTCACCTCT